CTTTTCAAGAACATGTTCAAAATGACATCCATTATATTCTATACACAAGCGACACCTTCTAACAAAATTGTCCTTTACCCTTTGAAATGAATTTGCGTTTTCCATAATTTTTATTTTTGCTCCATCAATTTTCTGGAGCAGTTGGTTGACATTTGTATATTCAGATGTATAGATTATCCCCGTATGAAGTCCCCATATAAAAAAATGTAGAGGATTTAAATCGGGTGACCTTGGAGGCCATCGTTGTGTCCACCCCTACCTATGCCATGACCAGGAAAGGCACTGTCCAAGTAATGCCGTACATCCCGTGCAAAGTGGCAAGGGCAGTTTCATCATCTTCGCACCTCCTCAACATATTCTCAAAAATTCAACCCGTTATGCATATTATGGTGAGGATGCATCTTCTCCTGCGAAGTATTGTGTGCTCCGAGCAATGGTTCTGGTGCTTCTAGAGAGATCTCTTTTGACTGCTTCTATTATATCTTCTATTTCTTCTGGGCGTATCTTCGGTGCTCCCAGCTGACGAGGAGTGCCTATACAGTGCTCTATGCAGGGTGTTTCAGTTTATCGTTGCATAACTTTAAGATTCGATAGAACTTTTAAAATTAATGCATAAAGTCTATATAAACATGGGTCAAAAAATGCGTCACTTCCGAAGTACAAATTTACTTTTTAAAATAGTTTTTTTTAAATATTTAGAACAATATTTGATGTATAACACTGAAAATTGGTATACAAGGGTTTTTTGGTACGACAAAACAAACTATGGGCTTAGTTTTACTGTAGCCGCTAGAGGGCGCTCTCTACTGTACCTGTATTAAAATGACCGAAAATTTTTTCTTAGTGCAATTTTTTGCTTTTTGAATAAAAAACTGATTCTTCGCACTTTTCTGCATAAAAAAGCTCTCTTGTGAGTTTTCGTTAAAGTTAGCCGTTTTTAAGATATTTCGATTTTTAGGGTTCGATGCACTTTTAATTATTTATGGGAAAATAATATTTTTTTTACATTTTCGATTTGGGCATTACAAGTAATTAAGATGATCGTTTAGATTGTTTTTAAACACAGCAATAATTCCTAAATCCAAATAAACACAAAAAAAGCAGAATATTAATTTGTTTAAATTTCCAATATTATTTTTAACAAATTAAATTAATTATTTACAACTAAAATGCTATTGGATAGTTAGGACAAACATACAAAATCTAAAGTAGTTGCTCTAAATGTAAACCCAATTGTTCAATACACAATTCACATCTACGAATGGTTGAACGTGGTATAGCATTATTCAAATAAGGCCTTATTTCATCACATGCATTCCTGATTCTGTCAGTTAGCATATATCTTGTGGTTACGGGAGTCTGGTACACTTTTTCTTTTAGAAATCCCCACACAAAGAAATCTAATGGATTTAGGTCAGGGGATCGTGGAGGCCAGGCGACTGGTCCTCCACGGCCGATCCATCTTTCTGGATAATTTTCGTCCAGCCAGTTTCTAACTATTCTCGAAAAATGAGCTGGACAACCATCAAGCTGAAACCAGGCCAATCTTCTTAAATCTAACATAGCATCATCCCACATATTTGCATGTTCAGCCTTCAGATACCAATCCACGCGTTCACACTACATTTATGCTGAAAATTTCTTTCCCGAACTGCATGCGGATTTTCATGCGACCAAATATGTTGATTATGAAAATTAACCACTCCACGTCTAGAGAAACATGACTCATCGGTCCATAAAACGTTACTTAAAAACTCCCTATTATTATCAGTTCTATCAAGAATACACTGACAAAATGTGAGTCTTCATGCTCCGTCCCCTGGCTGTGGTCCCTGCACAGGTTGCAAATGGTAAGGACGTCTATGGTCATTTCTAAGAACACGGTGAACATGGCTTGCTGAAATTTCCAAGGCACCAGAAACTCTCCTAACACTTGTGGTCGGATCTCTATCAAACTCACGCAGAATCATACCGGTAAATCTGCGCTGACGAACATTTATGTTTTGATCCCTTTGGAGATTTCCAAAACCATTTCCAATTATTTGGCGATGCACTCTTACAAATACTGAGCGAGTTGGATGTCGTCTGTTTGGAAATCTTCGGGCGTATTCTCTGGCTGCTTCTGCTGCGTTTCCATTTACAAAGCCATACACAAAATGAATATTCGTTAACTCTTGATTGGAGAATAAAAATGGCATTTTTATAAATCTTACAAAAAAAAACAGATGAAAGAAACTAAATTTCGTGCATTCACAATTGCAAAAAAACGTTCCAGGTTTCAACAGACAACAAAACAAACTGTCAACTGATTGACGTTTAACCTTATTCAGCTTTCAATTTAAAAAAATTTTGCAGGCACAGCCTACTTCTAAAAATTATCGGGATACTGTCTTTTTAATGTTATTTTATCATAAATAATTAAAAATGCATCGAACCTTAAAAATCGAAATATCTCAAAAACGGCTAACTATAACGAAAATTCACAAGAGAGCTGTTTTATGTTGAAAAGTGCTAAGAATCAGTTTTTTTATTCAAAAAGAAAAAAATTGTACTAAGAAAATTTTTTCGGTCATTTTAATACACTACAGGTACAGTAGAGAGCGCCCTCTAGCGGCTACAGTAAAACTATGCCCATGGTTCGTTTTGTCGTACCAAAAAACCCTTGTATACAAATTTTCACTGTTATACATGAAATATTGTTCGAAATATAAAAAAAAACTATTTTAGAAATTAAATTTAAACACCCTGTATTTCGGAAGCCACGCATTTTTCGACCCATGTTGAATTAGACTTTATGCATTAATTTAAAAAGTTCTATCGAATCTTAAAGTTATGCAACAATAAACTGAAATACCCTGTATAAGCATTATGGACGCGTAGAAAAACGCGGTAGGCGGGATATACCGCCAGTTGTGGTCCACCTCTTCTAACCAGATACTCCCGATTCATGCGAGCAGCTGCTCGAACATTTCCTAGGGCAGAACCATAATAGTAATGCATTTCTGCTTAATCTCACGGAGAATATGACATGATTCTACTTAGACGCCAAGCGTGAGATCATATAAGGTACCGTCGGGTAATAAGGCCGGACAGGTAATAAGGCCATACAGTTAAAAATCTCATAGAAATAAATATATCATAAGCCTAGCGCCATCTGTACCTAGGATGACTTCAACTGATCCAAATAACATGTGGCTGAAGAGCGTCAGATACTCCGCTTGGAAACAGTGCGCCGTAAACAAAATTCGTTACATTTCAAGTGCTGTGCTATAAAATTTCTCGATAAAAGGTATGTGATATTTTCACTAGTACAATTGAAATCTGTCTATATTTTGGAACATATAGGTTTATCCTGATGTCGACAACACTTGTAATCTGTTCATTGAAATAATTTTTTATTTTTTAATGATATTTAACCTCAAAAATTATAAACGTGCCAGACAGGTAATAAGGCCCGGGCCTTATTTCCTGTCTAGACAGATGATAATAAGGTCACTGCTTTATTGCCTGTCACAATGACTTAAAAATAACCTAACGTATCTAGAAATAAAGCACATCTTAAAATTATGTATGCTACATAAATAATATGTACATAAATGAGTTTTTTTTCTGACTTATGGTTTTCCTTATTTACAGACATGGGGAAAAAGAATCGCGGAATAAGGGCAAAATAGACAGACGCAATGATGGAGGAAGCACTGCGACTTGTGCGACTTGGTCATTCCCAAGCATCGGTAGCAATACGCTGTAATATTCCCCGTCGTACATTGAGAAACCATTTGAAAACTGGTTCAACCAAACGAGTCCTCGGTACAAAAACCCTTTTAACTGAACAACAAGAAAACGATTTGGTTCAAAAGATAATACGGTTTGCACAAAAAGGATTTCCACTAACCTCTAAAGTGCTTCGTCGTACCGTTTATAAATTTTGTGAACGACTTAATGTTAATCATAAATTCGATAAAGAGAAGCAATTAGCAGGAAAAGAATGGTACCGAGCATTCTTGAAGCGACACCCAAATATTTCGCAGCGAAGGGCACAGCAATTAAATCCTGCTCGTGCACAGAAATTAAACCATTTTATTGTGGATGATTATTTTGAGAAGCTGAACAACCTTTTGGAGAGAACTGGCCTTAAATATATGCCTGGTAATATCTATGATATGGACGAGAAGGGCTGTAGACTCATGCTACACCATCAGCAGAGGGCTCTAGCAGAGAAGGGAGCTAAAAGAGTGCATTTGATAGGGTCAGAACATGGAGAAAATGTAACCATTGTGGCATGTGCAAATGCGCTCGGCAATGCGATACCTCCAATGATTTTATTTAAAGGGCAGAGAATAAAACCAACTTTTTCAGATGGACTTCCAGCAGGGTTAGTTGTACATATTACTCAAAAAGGAAGCATGACTACGGAGATATTCCTTAAATGGTTGGATCATTTTGCACAATTCAGGTCGCCCCCTCCAACAATTTTAATTTTCGATGGAGCATCAAGTCACCTCGATGTGACTATCGCTGAAAAGGCAGAATCATTGCAGATTGAGCTTTTATGTTTACCTAGTAATACTACCCACGAGCTCCAGCCAATGGACAAATCCGTCTTCCGGTCGTTTGAAGCCCACTGGGATCAGGAGCTTGTAGATTACTGGGATCAACATCCTGGCAGAAGATTAAATAAAGAAAGGTTCTCAGATGTCTTTACTCCTGTTTGGGGTAAGTGTATGACCATCAGCAACATCTGTAGTGGGTTTAGAGCAACCGGGATCTACCCTTTTAACAAAAATGCGATACCGGAGTGTGCATTTGCTCCCAGTCTTCCTACACAGCGCCACAATGACGAAAACAATGCGCCCAATTTGTCTGATGGTGAGATCAGTAATCCGCCTAGTTTGGAAGACCACTGGGACTCAGAAGATGAAATTCCATTAGCTCAGTTGATCGAAAAAGAAGCACAATGTCTAAATAACTCATTCGCTAAAGAGCTCATTACTCCCGATATGCAGCCAGTTAAAACCAAACCACGAAAAAAAGCCCTGAATTATCGAGCTCAGGAAGTAAAAAGGGATGTTTTTAAAGATTCCAGTTCTAAAAAAATTAAAACCAGTGAATCAAGGAAATCGACTGAATTGCCGACCACTAGCAGAGCTGCTAGAGAAGAAGACTGGATGTGCTCCGTTTGTGATAAGGCCTTTGTAGCTGACATGCGATCCTGTGTATTATGTGGAATATGGGTGCATGAGGAATGCATCGGCCTTACTGCAAATGACACCGAGGAATTTATTTGTCCGCAATGCCTGCCATAATTTTTTTTAAGTACCTTGTTTACTCTTAGTCTCTCTTTTTTATGTTTTTAAAAATAACTGTTTTTTTGCTTTTTTTGTGCGTTAATTAACAAATGCTAAGTTGGGCCTTATAACCTGCCTAGGTTGGTAATAAGGCCAAAATGCATTTTTTTGTCATTCTAGTGTCTAAGTGGTATCATATGTTTTTTAAGATTCTGTTCATTAATATTTTTGTAAAACAAATACCTTAGTTACATTTTTTATATAAGCAAAGTCGAAAATGTGTATGTGTTATTAAATAAAAAAGTAAGAATGTTAACCTGGCCTTATTACCCGACGGTACCTTACGCATATTATTAGATACAATGTAACAGACGAATTGTTTTAGTCAAGTGGAACGACTGATCCGATCTCTTAATGAACAGGTAGTAGGATCGTACTCAGAATGTAAGTAGTATTCAAGTGCTGTAGCTTCAGCGCGGTGAACATGAAGTCAGTCTACTCGACGCCAGCTTTTAGTATACACATTGCAATTTGTTTAATCAGTGATAACAAAACCAACATATTCTGTTCGGTTCCAACTATCGTCGAATTGTTACAAAGTCATACGCTAGATATCTGCTGATGTCAGTTGGAGTGTTATCGTTGACCACCGACACATTTGGCTTCCGGTCATCGACTGAAAAATAACAATTGCGAATCCACGCACTTTCATTAAAAACTAACACGAAAAGCGACGTTGTGTGATACTATCAGAGAATCTTGGTAAGTTCTTTTATAAAAAGTCTTTATTTTTACAATGGCTTCAATAAGTAAACTTTCGTCAATCTGTCTGTCTGTAGGAATTTTTATAACCTAATAGTCCCTATCGCATCGGCACCGATTTTGATGAAACTTCTTGTCGTTTTAAAAACCGTGCAGTCGCGTAACAGTTAAGACCAAAAATAGAATAGCTTCAGATCGCACCCAAACTTTGTCTCTGTATAAAATAGTAATCGCTTGTCTGACCCCAGACCGTCCCATGGACAGCTGTCTCGTGCTATTTGGCAACACCTCAGTTTGATCTTGGTGGACAGCGAAAGAAAGCTGAGCAACTCTATTCAGAGTATAAGGGTTATCTCTATCTATTCCCAGAGTCGACCACTAAGAATGTGCAAACGCCAATTATTCAGGGTGTTCTCAAAGTTGAGTCACTATTCTAACTGCTTTTAGGGCTCGTTAGAACGAGTTGATATACTAAGAAGCACCAATATAAAAGTTGCATAATACTAAACATTTTAAACGCGGTTGCAATATTGTAATTATATAAATACACTTTGAACAATGTATAGAGCGCTTTTCTTTAATGTTCACCTCCCCTTTGACTTTTCGAACAGATCAATTCAAAATATTGAAACTTGAGTTAATGAAATTGACAGATGAACATGTCAAGATGGCCGCTGGGTGACATCTTGGAAAAAAATTATATGTAGACGGGGGTCTTGTGATACATCATTTTGAATTTTTTTCTTTAAATGGACGAGACTTGACCATTTTAAAAATAGTTCAAATAATATCTAGCACTAAAACCGAAAACTAAATAAGAATATTTTAACTGTACAATGATGTTTGTTTTCGTACTGATATTCTTGTCACTGTCAACAAAAAATAACAAAACAGGTTTTTATCGCTGTTGCTGCGGATACGACAGGGAACTACAATTATTTGCAGAGATATGCATGTTAGTGGGTTTGTGTTCATGTAATTATTAAATGTACCACCATTTCGTAGTAGGTAAAGATATTGACTTTATATTCTAGGGTTATAAAGTACTCATCAGGAGCTTCAAACTGATGTGCCACAAGACCCCCGTTTTCATATAATTTTTCTGTCAACTTTACTCTAAAATATGGTATCCACGCGTTAAGTTTTAATTTTTTGAATTGATCCCTTCAAAAAATCATGTGGGAGGGTGACATTAAAGAAAAGCACAATATACAATATACAATATCAAATAATGATTCATTTAGGTCGTTTGCAAAAATATGGAACGCCTGCAAAAGCGAAGTTTAAATAATAAGAAAAGGTATAAATATATACAAAGTTCCAGTTTTAAATCAATGAGGAACATTTCTTAAATAAAAAAATACATTCTGGAAAAAAAATCTGGCCATGTGACTTTGATTTCATTTGGCATCGTCAAATCGTTTATATTGGAATGGTATCAAGGCAGTTATCGGTCAATCGTGAGGATTAGGACACATTTCTTATTACTTCTTACTTCTTCTTATTTTGACCTTCTGATATGATCTGTGCTTATATTAGCCAAGCAGAAACTAATAAAATAGCACGTCGATAGCCACATATTACAATACGAGCGACATGTAGCTGAACTCGACGACTTTTATTAAAAGATATGGCTCTCGATAGGATATTTTTCCATATGAGGTCAAAATCAACCACATTTCAAGCATATTCTTGTTATTAGCATGCTCAATAATATTGTTTTCAAAATTGCCGGTTTATTTTGACGTGTGCGAGTAAACCTAATCTCACTCATTACTCTTCTAAACATTGTCTCCGTCATTGTATGCATTCCATACGTATTGCTGACATTGTTTAATGACTGTATACATTATCTAAACGTAGTCGTTTGCCCACAGTCTTAAAAGTAAAAAAAGTAAAGTAAAGTTTATTTACCAAAAATAACGGTAATATTGTAAAACGAATACACAGTTTAGAATGGTAAACAAACAGGAAACCCACAGAGCAAGCTTTCGCGTGGGATTGTACAGATTACTACAACATTAATCTTTAAAATTTCCAGTCCATTACTAATATTAGTTAATCGGCAAGGTAATCCATAGTCGGTGATTTGAAAATGTATGATTAGAACGAGCAGAAAAATTCGTTAATATCACCCACAGTCGGTTAATTTTATATTTTTGAAAAAGCTGGACTATTCATCTAATACATATGTTATCAAAATTCGGTATCGATGTAAAAAGTGGAAGAGAGAAAATTAATAAAAAGTAAGTATACAGACATCACAGCAACTGATTCAATACATTTATGGGGCTTATCATCACAGATATTATATTATGTATGTTTTGCCTAGGAGTATTTGAGATGCACAACTTCATGAGCAGGCATATTTACTGATCTGGCAAGGCATTAACAACTTTGGGACCAGTACCTTAGGCTAACCGTTTTGTAAATTTTTTGGACTTTTGATTGTACGTCTCGTTCTCTTGTATTAGGGCAATGCTTAATGTAATCACTGTTACGTTTACTTGAGTGCTGAAATATGGCCAGCTGTTGGAAAAATAATTGTCTGTTATCAAATACTTCCACTTCTCTGTAAAGCTCATCGGATGGATACCTACGTGGTTTGTCAAGCATTATTTCAAGTAACCACTTATGCGTTACTTCGAATTTATTGAAGTATATTCAGGGTGGCGCATCAAAAAAAAAAAACAGACGCATTAACTGTCCGCTCAGTTTTTTTTGAAAAACGCTGAGACTCGTCGATTTTGTTTTCGAGGGGGACACAAGTTTGGCAAAAAATCTCGTTAGCACGTACAGCCCCCTAAGCGGGGGTCACACCACCCCCAAAATCTTAAGTGGAAAGGGGGGTCGAGTGATACCTTATTTTAAAGGTCTTTCAATTCCCTTTATAATGATATAAAATTGATGTACTTCAGTTCAGTAGTTTTGAAGATTTATTGATTTAAAGCTTAAATAAAACTAGTACATCATCATTAGTGGAGATCAATACATTTGGCAGCAAAGTAACTTAAAAATGAAAAATGAACTGCCCCGTTAGGCAAGTAAATGTTGAAAATGGCCACCATGACTCTCCATGCAATAATAAAGATGTTGCTCAAAACGTTGCCGCACATTTTGCAATATTTGAGGAGTAATTTGAAGGCACTCATTCACAATTCTTTGTCGCAAGTCTTCTAATGATGTTGGCTGAGTAGCATAGATTTTTCTTTTTAAATGACCCCACATAAATAAATCCAAAGGTGATAAATCTGGCGATCTTGGGGAACATTCAATTGCACCTCTTCTACCAATCCATCGATCTGGAAACGTCTGATCTAAATATTTTCGAGCACGTAATGCGTAATGTGGTGGAGCACCATCCTGTTGGAACATCAACCTATTAGCAATGTACCGCCGATCATTCTGATTTTCAATTATGGCTGTTAATGGTGGATCTACGGCCGTTTTCCAGTAATTCCAAATACATTTTACCGGTCAAATTTCTAGGTAAGAAAAAGGAACCAACTAAATGATCGCCAAAAATACCAGCCCAAACATTTAATTTTTGTGGCTGCTGTGTATGAACCTCATGATAAATTCTGGGATTAGAATCGAACCAATATCGGCAGTTATGACGATTTACTACTCCATTTAAGAAAAGGAACATTTGTCGGAAAATCAAGTGTTGAATAGAAAATGTTCATCGTTTATAATTCGTTCACTCATATCTTCACAAAATTGTAATCGCCAGTCAAAATCGTCTTCACTAAGTTCTTGTACCAGGTGAATTTTATACCAATGGAAACTATGGGCCTTTAGGATCCGGTGGACAGTACGTCGACTAACACCACACGTAGTCTCCAATTTGCGAATACTTAACTTAGAATCTACATAAACTTGCCCTAAAACCCCCACTTCTATTGCTTCGTTCCTTATGGGATCTTCAATGTTGCGTTTTTTATTGGCGACTGACCCAGTTTCCCGAAATTTAGCTACAAGTTCTAGAACGTATCTTCGATGCACGTTACTGTTCTCAAGTTGCTCATTAAATATTTCTGCTGTTCTATTAACTCTCTGATTATTTCCGACATATATTTCAATATTTCAACTCTTTCTGCTGTGAAATATACCATGGTTAATTTATGTAATAAAGCGTTACAAGCTATTTTAGCAACAAAGTTTGCAAGTCGCAAACTACGTACTAAATTCCTTTTTAAAGTAAGTACGAGATATTTCCTTATCTTTCTCCAAGAAATAACTTTTTTGCCACAAAAAAACGCTCCAATATCTATTTTCAACAACAAAATGATAAACAAACCATGGACGTCGTGAAGAAAAGCACTTACTTATTAAGTAAATTCGTTTAGTCAAATTTCTTCTGAAAGAAGTTCAAACTAATCTGGTATACCTATTAAAGTCTACTTTAAGCTATAAATCTTCTAAACTACTAAACTGAAGCTCATGTATTTTAAATCATTATAAAGGGAATTGAAAGACCTTTAAAATAAGGTATCATTCGATTCGATTTAGGACTGGTGTCACCCCCGCCCAGGGGGCTGCACTTGTTAACGTGATTTTTGTCCAAACTTGTGTCCCCCTAGAAAACAAAATCGACGGGTCTGAGCGTTTTTCAAAAAAAAAAATGAGCTGCCAGTAAATGCGTCTGTTTCGTTTTCGATGCGCTATCCTGTACATGTATGTTCATACTAGGCCACCTCTATCTATCATTATTACGATGTTGTACGCTTCTGAGTACGGCTTGGCCTTATTTAGAAAATTTTGTTACAGAGTTATTTCAAGTGCCTCGGCGATCAGTACGAGCTTATTTTGAATGTGATACTAACAGAACAGCTTATACATATATCGTATTTGAGGAAACTAAGATGGTATGCTGATGTACTTCTGACGAACTTGTCGATATGGTGTTGGGTCACAGTGAGTAATTTGGGAATGACGCTAAAACTGCGCTATTATATCCAGCTCGCTTCCTGGATGACCCCATTATGCGCGGCGCGACAACACTGAGCTTAAATTTCTTATAGAGTGAACGGTGTGCACTTTTTTCAAAAACGTTTCAAAGGTCATCAGTTTCAGTTTATCCATGTCAAAGTTATACGACTTGCCATTTCAGACAGACAGATTAGTAACATACGTTATATCTCGTCACTTGGCTCTACTTCAGCAGCATGTTTCTTTGCAGGTCCCGTAATCCTAAGGTATATCTGGTCCGCCTAACGTCATGGCAGAAGGCGTCATCAAGATCTCTGTCATACCGATCCTACTACTTGGACTTGTTTTACATACATCTGCCTTACGCCAACTCTCAGCATCACAGTATCATATGACAGATGAAAGAAGCGAATGCCAAGGAGACTCTCGAGAAAGGTTCATCATTCACGATATTATGGCGAATGAAAACGATTCATGGGTTTTTCCTGCACCATTATCAAATATTGATTGCTGGTATGTTGTGGTCAATTCCTCCATACCTCTTCTCAAACGGGCAATGTTCCCAAGCGATCGAAGAGCGTATATTGTTGAAATCACCTTGGAGAGTGCTGGCATACACAAAATAGAATATGCTATATTTGATGGGTTTCACTATTTAGTATGCCTCCATTTGTCTAAGAATCACTTAAATAAGATAGGTAGAGACGCGTTTGGACAACTTGAAGGACTAGTGTACTTGGACTTATCACTGAATGATATCACCGATATAGAAGCTAACGCCTTTATTGGTCTCAGACCGCTAAGAAATCTCAATTTGTCATCCAATAGTTTGAGCAGCGTGAAACAGAATATATTCGTTGGCTTATCCAGCTTGATAAAGCTGGATCTCTCATTAAACCCTTACATGCATACAATTGAGGCACGTACTTTTGATGGTTTGACATCACTTGAGTATCTTAATATTTCATACTGTAATATAAGTCACTTAGATACCAATAGTCTAAAAGGCTTAAGAGGTTTGCATCAACTACACCTATCAAATAATCCTGTCAGCGAAATTAGTAGACACGCATTTATTGGTATGTCTACTCTTGCAGATTTGGATCTGTCATCCCTGAATTTGACTTCCATTGAATCAGAAACGTTTACTGGGCTATCAAACTTGAAATATCTGGACTTGTCCCAAAACCGTGTACGTAAAATCAATGCACGTGCTTTTGAAGGCTTAGCCCAGCTATATCTACTGAATCTGTCATCGAATAAGCTAGAAATCCTGCAGTCAGAAACTTTTTTTGGACTAGAAAGATTGCAACAGCTAGACTTGGTAGGGAATCCCGTAACTTTGATTGATGCGAACGCCTTCAACGGCATGTCTTCCATATCAGTTTTGGATCTTCCATTGTACAATTTAACTTCACTAGAATCTAAATCATTCATCGGCTTAACAAGCTTGCATACGCTTGATCTCCCGATAGTTCCTCTCAACAGGATCAAAACGCATACATTTGAAGGTTTGTTCAGCCTTACGTCGTTGGATCTCTCATATCGTAACATAAGCACATTAGACTTCGAGTCCTTCACGGGTTTAAGCCAGTTGAGGAAACTGCATCTATCAAATAATCCTCTCAGAAAAATTAGTAGACACGCATTTATTGGTATGTCTACTCTTGCAGATTTGGATCTGTCATCCCTGAATTTGACTTCCATTGAATCAGAAACGTTTACTGGGCTATCAAACTTGAAATATCTGGACTTGTCCCAAAACCGTGTACGTAAAATCAATGCACGTGCTTTTGAAGGCTTAGCCCAGCTATATCTACTGAATCTGTCATCGAATAAGCTAGAAACCCTGCAGTCAGAAACTTTTTGTGGACTAGAAAGATTGCAACAGCTAGACCTGGTAGGGAATCCCGTAACTTTGATTGATGCGAACGCCTTCAACGGCATGCCTTCCATATCAGTTTTGGATCTTTCATTGTACAATTTAACTTCACTAGAATCTAAATCATTCATCGGCTTAACAAGCTTGCATACGCTTGATCTCCCGATAGTTCCTCTCAACAGGATCAAAACGCATACATTTGAAGGTTTGTTCAGCCTTACGTCGTTGGATCTCTCATATCGTAACATAAGCACATTAGACTTCGAGTCCTTCACGGGTTTAAGCCAGTTGAGGAAACTGCATCTATCAAATAATCCTCTCAGAAAAATTAGTAGACACGCATTTATTGGTATGTCCACTCTTCCAGATTTGGATCTGTCATCCCTGGATTTGACTTCCATTGAATCAGAAACGTTTACTGGACTATCAAACTTGAAATATCTTAACTTGTCCCAAAATCGTGTACGTAAAATCAATGCACGTGCTTTTGAAGGCTTAGCCCAGCTATATCTACTGAATCTGTCATCGAATAAGCTAGAAACCCTGCAGTCAGAAACTTTTTTTGGACTAGAAAAATTGCAACAGCTGAACCTGGTAGGGAATCCCGTAACTTTGATTGATGCGAACGCCTTCAACGGCATGTCTTCCATATCAGTTTTGGATCTTTCATTGTACAATTTAACTTCACTAGAATCTAAATCATTCATCGGCTTAACAAGCTTGCATACGCTTGATCTCCCGATAGTTCCTCTCAACAGGATCAAAACGCATACATTTGAAGGTTTGTTCAGCCTTACGTCGTTGGATCTCTCATATCGTAACATAAGCACATTAGACTTCGAGTCCTTCACGGGTTTAAGCCAGTTGAGGAAACTGCATCTATTAAATAATCCTCTCAGCAAAATTAGTAGACACGCATTTATTGGTATGTCCACCCTTCCAGATTTGGATCTGTCATCCTTGAATTTGACTTCCATTGAATCAGAAACGTTTACTGGGCTATCAAACTTGAACTATCTTAACTTGTCCCAAAATCTTGTACGTAAAATCAATGCACGTGCTTTTGAAGGCTTAGCCCAGCTATATCTACTGAATCTGTCATCGAATAAGCTAGAAACCCTGCAGTCAGAAACATTTTTTGGACTAGAAAGATTGCAACATCTGGACTTGGTAGGTAATCCTCTAACAACAATTAATACAAATGCCTTTAATGGTCTATATGCCCTCTCATTTCTAGACCTTTCGTATCACAATTTGAGAATTCTGGAACCCGCCTCATTTGGAGGTTTGTCCAATCTAAGGTTGTTGAATCTTTCATCGAATAGTTTAAGCGTTTTGAATCCAGAATTTTTCACTGGGCTAGTGCGATTGGAACAGCTAGATCTATCAAAAAATCCTATCAGTACGATTAACACAAATATCTATTTCGAACCACTGGCCGCGCTGGAGAGTCTTTACATCAGAGAAATAGCAAACAACAGCAATATTTTTAATTTTGTTTACCTGGCGAATATGCTCCATTGCTACAAACACCTGCAAGCAATTTTTGTGAGCGATATTGAGTTCATCAGCTGTTCGCAGTTTACGAGCATCATCACATATGCCTCCTCAAGACATGTGAACTTTGTAACAGGCTACTACACAGTTTCTACAACAGACAACACTAACTTGTGCAAATATGAAGATACGAATAAGCAACTGAAAGAAATAGTTGCAGCTCTTGGTGTCCTAGTCAACCGAAGTAAAGACGTTTTAGTTAATCTGCTAGATAGTAAAACGAATCAAGACAGCTTTAGTCAGGATGGTTTAAGTACAAAAAATACTCACGTGCTTTTAAGTTTCATACTTGTATTGCTAGCGATTTTAATTATAATTTCGAGTCTGATATTACTTTATAAATACAATTATTGCAAACGCGAAACGCTAACAAGCGATACTACCCTTGAGAGTAGCGAAAATCTTTTATTGAAGTAGATCTTGCATGCCTATTTTACATTACACTGCTTTTAAAATCCGGTATTCATTATATGAAAAGTCCGATAATGTCACAATCATGAAATAAACCCTCTTTTAGATGAGGTTGAATTAAATCTGCAGTACAATTATGAGGATATAACGGATATTTTCGTGACCCGCATTTAAAGAAGTGTTTATTACAGAATAGGTCTACAGAAGAGTTCTTCTGATTTATAATTATTGATCATTACAAATGCTTTATTTTGAGGGTTCTCATTTTTAAGGTCTCCTCATTTCCTACAATTTTCCCGCAGCCCATTTATACCCATACCCATAATATTACAACAACGCCAAAGTTAGAAGGGTTCTGATGAATAAGTATATGTATATACACTCACCTAATGAAATAGCTAAGTAACAATACAGAAATTAGCTTCTCAAATATACGATCCAAGTTTTCTCGATGACACAGGAATGAACATATTCATATTATCGAAACAATGTATCCAACTTAGTTATTGTTAGAACTGTACATATCTGTTTAAGCACATTTGTACTTTCTTGTTTCTGTAAAAATAAAACATGATAAGACATTCAAGTTACATTTTTCTTCTTGGTAACCTAAACGATTGAACCCTAGAGCTTTATTCCTGTTTCAAATTTATTATAATATTTAGCGGACGTTTCATGATGAACGAATCAGTGGAATACTTGAATGACCTATTCTCGTTTGGTTGTAGATGACACTGGCCTACAAGATCTTCACACAGAAACCGAAGCATTTTTCTCGAAGATTTTTTATGCGCTTGAGTCCGTATCCGTGGTCCAAATCTCTCAATTAATTGGCTCTATGAGATATTACAGTCTGAAAGTGCAAAAATACTGATATTTGCATATAATTGAGGTTACCTAGCATGTTTTTGTCCTCAAAGAACCATGAACATCATCTCAAAGTTTAAGCCTTAACCTTTCGAATGCTGATGAGTTTGCTTAAATTTATTTTTTTTTGCGATTTAAAATTTCTATTTTTCTGAATTTCTCTATATTGTCAGTTTGTAAGTCTATCAGGTCTGGTAATCCAGAAACCAGACAATTTTAAGGAAGAAAGGGGAGGAAATGGGAGAAGGAAGAACGAGAGCAAAGGGGAAGAAGAGAATCTTTTAGGATAGAAAGCATTTAAGCATTGATAAAATCACTTCACAGATTTTGATATGGTCTAAAAATATTCGATTTTTTCTAAAGATTTTGTCAAAATGCTCCAATTTTGGTTCTAAGTTCACGAATTAATTTTTTATTACAGTGCGAGCCGCGGCCTTTTGTGCTTGCGAACTTGCTCGACTGTGTAGTCCACTGGCTCACGCAACAGAGGGTTGCTGTGCGATTCCGCTAGTCTATAGCGCCGCTGCGCCTGTTGCTTAATGTAGTCCTTTAGGTAAAGAACATCGAGGTCTCTATGTAGAGTTTCGTTAGAGACATACCATCGGGCGTCAGCAATAGTGCGCCACGTCCTGCTTTGCAGAACCTGCAGATTTCGCATGTGTGTTTTAGCAATAAAACACCAAACCGCACATGCGCAAGTCATAAGATCAGACCACCTGATAGAGTCGGATCTGGTTATTCAAACTTAATTTTGAACGTTTACATAGTAATGGGTAAAGCTGTAGAAACGTAACTTGGAATTTAGTTTTTAGCACTTCTATATGGTTCCGCCAAGTCTTCCTTTTGTCCAGAATCACACCGAGATACTTAGCGGAGGATTCCCATGGTATACGAAATCCATTCATTGAAACTTCAGATGGAACACCGCGACGTCTTTTTGTACAGTAGCTTGCCTGCATTTTCGAATGGTTAATTTTAATTAGCCACCGATCCGCCCAATCTACTACTTCCTCTACCGCACTTTATCGTCTGTCATGGACTAGTTGACCAGACCACGACAGAGCCACCAATGCTGTATGGTCAGCATAGAGATAGACTTCACAGTTGCTGGGACTAGGGAGGTCATGGATGTACAGTGAGTAAAGGATAGGTCCAAGGACCGAACCCTGAGGGACGCCGGCTGTAATCAGCAGTGTTGTCGACAGCACATTGTCAATTTTGATCCGAAATTTCCTACTTTCAAGGAAGGATTTTAGTAGTTTTAGAAGCCAAAAAGGGGAAGCCCTTTTGGATTAGTTTATACAGGAGGCCCGCGTGCCACACCTTGTCAAATGCTTTTGAGACATCCTAAAGCAAGATGCCAGTACTTTCGTTAAGGGTGAATCCTCTGGTTACTCGTTCCACCAGCCTAACCGCCTGTAGCTCCGTACTATGTTCAGACCGAAAACCGAATTGCACGTCAAGAATCACATGATGATCTGACGAGAAATTGTCAAGGTGGCGTAGAATCAATTTTGATAAATGTAGGCTGTCGTCTCTTGTACCTAGCCATTTGCAGGAAAGGTCGCCTGCAAAGCCTGTGTTGCGCTAATCAGAGAACCTATGATCTGCTGTAAGGGCCGTAGCGCGGTTGCCAGGTCCACATTTTGCGTGTTCGCAGAAGATCTCACAGAGGGGGTTGCATCCCTAGCTGCATCCGCGTAACTTACATTGCGCCTTCGCGCTATCACTTGCAGATTTTTCCTAAAGGCAAATATGCAAGTTCGGCTATTCGCTTGGTGGCCCGCCCCACCTCCACAGTTCGCGCACTTTCGTTCTTCTTGTTCTTTTTGAGGGCATAAGTCGGTCATGTGGTCAGAAGCACATTTTAGAGACACTTAGGTGGTGCAGTGCAATAAGATTGCGCATGCCCATGTTTTTGGCAGCGGTGACACTGCCCGATGAGTCTTGTGTTCTTTTGAACTTCGACTCGGATAGCCAAACCTAGCAGCTCATGTTCG